CTTGCTGAAATTTCTTTAACAATTGATGTATGAATCAAACGACAAAAATTAATTGAAAATACCTGCTAACGACGATGATTAAAAAGATTTCTTTGGATTACTGACCAACCTATTCGAAGCACAACGATTCACGAAATGAAAATGTAGTGAGTCAAAGATGCGTGAAGTGATCGACTTGCAAACTTTCGACAAGGAAAATAGAGATTTCATGGCGCCATGATTTTGTAGAAGTGTCAAGTGTTTACTAGAGCAGTCAGCGAGTTAAATTTTTTTAAATAGAATAATTATAATGGATCAACACAAATTAAAGACACGCAAACCGCTAAAGGATTTATGCAAATGCAGAATTCAACAGATAGTTGCGCAAAAAGTGCATTGATATAAAAGACTTTTGGATCAACAAATGGTTAATTCTACACTTAGTATCGGTGTAAGTGCAAGCAAGAATCATATATAAAATACAGTGGCTAATATAGAGATCGTTGAATTTTCAAATATGCCTTCAACGTCTTCAAATATTTTTGAATAATCTGATATTGATAGAAATTTGCAACTATCGGACAAAACCATTGACTCTTCATCAACTGAGTCTTCAACCCTTCAGGGAGATTTGCGTTATTGGATAAATGATCAAAATATTACCTTACATAGTGCTAACCTTCTCGGACACATTAGTGGGAGGTTTTATGTACATTTTGATATAGAAAATTCTATTATTCGAGCCATGAGTAGCAGTAATATGGATAATGAAGCAAACCGAAAGGATATTTAATTTTTTTTGAAGATTTCTCTACGCTAATAAGAATATATTTTTTTTTGCAGAAAAAGAAGTCAAAAGTACTCCCGCTAGTGATTTAATTGCTGCATTTGAAGAGAGGTCAAAGATAAGCGAACAAAATAAGGAGCGTCGCTTAAGAGAATTCATGGCATTTAAAGAACAAAAAGCTAAAGAGTCAAATTAATATAAACAACAAGCTTTAGAGTTATTAGAAAAGCTTGTTAAAGCTAATTCTAATTCTAATTTCAATAATTCTAATTAACATGATTATGCTTAAAGACTGCTCTTTATGAAGTCGGGCTTGGACTTGAAGATAATGGCTTCCAATACTCAGAATAACAATTTTTTTTATTTTTCTGAATAAAATTTAAAACAATTAAATTTTATAGTTTTAAATATAATAACCAAAAAAAGCATTGATTTTATTTCATTTCATCCAATAATTAATTCACTCATGTACAATAATTAATTAAATGTATAATATTATTTGATTTTTAATTTACAATTTTCTTGTGTATATAATTATAAAAATCTTATCTTAGTTTGTCCATGTTCATTTCTCATAATTGTAATTTTTATCTATTGAATTGACTTATAGTTGCTTTCTTAAACATTTCTTATAATTAATTGCTCACATATACGATTTCGTTTATCAACACCAGCAGCAGGTAAAATTCTATTATAATAAATTTCATTTATGTTTCCATTTTGTTCTTACTTCCTTCACAGGAAATTCATCGTTTTTTAATAAACATATATGACACAATGACACAACAAGCGATTATGTACTCAGGAATTAAATCAGTTCGATTCATGTCGAGAACTATCATGAAACTGCGAAATCTTTTTTTAAGTAATTCAAATGGACGTTCAATTGCTATTCGTGCAGATGAATTACAAAAATTTTATTTTTTTTGGCTTACTGATAAGTGCCCATTATCTCGATATGTTTTTTTTTTGTATAGCGAAGGAAATGCCTTTATGCATCCCAGACCGGTCTTCTGTCTGGGTATGTCGGACTCGATACCGCCCTGGTATAATACCGACTAAAACCTCCGCTTTGCCCTTGCCTCTGGTCTCCACGGAAACCGCCGTTAGGCATTACTTCGTGGGGGGAGGATCTAGAATGATATAATTCTTAACTTGTTATAATCAATGTTATAATTCATAAACATTATTCAGTAGAACCTCGATTATCCGGACCTCGGTTATACGGATTCGCTATTATCCGGACTACCAACCGCGACCAATTTTTATGTATGAACATACCTACAATTCGAATTTTTGCACGATTTATGTTGCAGTTTAGTATATGTATCTAATATAATCTAACAAAGTTCGGATAAGGAATTTTATTACGCGTGCATATAACGCACGGTCTATTTATTGCAATTTTAATTAATTTTTGTAATTAAACCACTTCTCATAGGCCTATAATATTTTACAAGGTTCGATTTTAAATCAACTGTATCACCATGCGAAGTTTCATCAAAATCCCAGAAGAGTAAACCTGAGGGTTCCCTTGTAGGAAAATCTATATGTACATACATAAGAAAAATGTTAATTACTTATTAAACATTAATTTTTGTTGATATCTATGTATGTATTTGTTATTTTTGAAAAATACACATAATTATCATTCATACATTGGATTATCCGGATGCCTATCGACAAGAATTAGTCCGGTTAATCGAGATTCTACTGTACTTATCTTTTAAATGGGCGAAGTCCTATTCGCCCTTTCTCTCTCTATAGAACGCAGGTCCATTAAAACGTCTCTCGCAAATCTGTCCATGGCGTTCCAAGCAGCATCACTTGTCAGCATCACTTCAACAACATTACCTGGGGTAATTCTGCGTCTCAATGTCTCTTCCACATCATCCCGTAGAGCACCAAATCGCGGGCACACGAAGAACACATGCTCAGCATCTTTGATTTCGCCCAAACAATATGCTCAATCCGGCGAGCTATCGTGCTGAAGCGGTGTAGGTAGGCTCGAAAACAGCCATGCCCCGATAGCATTTGCGTAGTATAATAATTTACTTCGCCATGCTTGCGACTTAGCCAGACTTTGATGTTAGGAATGAGACGATGCGTCCATCTGCCCTTCACTGCGACATCCCACAGTTGTTGCCATCGGTCAATGCTGTTCTGCCGTTCTTCTAATCTCAACTTTTCAGGACTCAGTTGTTGATGTCTTCTATGATAAATTGCCCATCTTTCCTCTGCTAAGACTAAGAGAGGCACAGTTCCTGAAATGACGCACACTGCTTCCGCCGATACTGTGCGAAATGCGCAAGCAATTCTTATACCACTGAGACGATATAAGGGCCCTGCCATTCTCCTCGATTTTTGAGATTTAAGAGCATCAGCACATATGGAGATACCATATTTCAGCACAGAAGTAACAACTGACGATAGTAATATCCTTCTGTTTAGGACCTCCAATATTAGGCATCAGTCGAGCAAGTTTCGTCCTAACTATTGACGCCTTAGCACTAACGTGTTCCACTTCCATTGAAATTCAAACGAGCATTAAGCATTACGCCAAGGCAACAGATGTGAGGTTTTGACGTGATCCCAAGATTTCCTATCTTTAGCTTGATGGTCTCTATTGTTTTTCTACTAGTGATAAGAACAGCTTCACTTTTTTATTGTGAAAATTGGAGATTCATTGTTCCCATCCACCGATTAATTTTTTTGAATGTAATATCGAATAGACTTACGATGTCATCAATTTGTTTGGAGACAACTACTATGGCAACATCGTCTGCATATGCTACTAGTTTCACACATTCTGGAATCTCTAGTCTCAATAGGCCATCATACATAATATTCCACAGCAAAGGGCCTAGAACAGAGCCCTGCAGCACACCTCCTGTTATATTATATTCTTCTGTACCATCGCGTGAATCGCGGAACATTAGAATTCTATCTGTAAAGTAGCTTGCGACTATATTGCAGAGGTATGCTGGCACGTTCTTGTCACGGAGTGCATTCATAATGCAATCCCAGTTTGCTGAATTGAAAGCATTTTTTATATCCAATCTAGCTACAAGGCAGTACTTTTTTGCACCCCCCTTCCATCTGGTTCCAGCAATTGCCTCCTTGGCGGAATTAACTACCAAGTTTATAGCATCGATAGTTGATCGCCCTTTGCGAAAACCATACTGATTGTCTGTTAGGAATGGGTCAACTATTGCATCTATTCTTTGGTGAATTATTCTTTCAGAAATTTTACCCGCTGTATCCAGCATGCATATTGGACGGTAGGATGATGGTTCATCTGGTGTTTTTTTTCCTTTGGGAATAAGCACTAATCTTTGCTGTTTCCATTTTCGCGGAAAACCCCCTTTTTTTAGGCATGTATTATATGCATTAAGAAACATTGTCGGAAATGTCATAATTGATGTTTTTAAGGCAATATTAGGAATTCCATCTAAACCCGGTGACTTACTATTTCCAACGCGATGACAAGCTTCCATCAGTTCTTGCAGTGTTATAGGTGGAATATCATTCAGTTCTACCTGTGTTACCTGGTAGTTTAAATTAGGTTGTCGTGGAAACAAAATAGTTACTATTTTATTCAATAGTCGTGGGCAAGTTGGTGAAGGTATTGGCTGGCTTTTGAGGCGAGACATTACAGTCTTATAAGGTCTTCCCCATGGGTTTTCCTCGACTTCATTCAGAAGTTCCTTCCAGCACCTAACTTTACTATTTTTGATAGCTTTATTTAGTTGCCGACGTGCTAGTTTATATTACGCTACCAGTTGTGCAGAATTAGTAAGACTATATCCTCGCTGAGAGATCCTTCTTTTCTTTAGGCACTCTTTACGAAGAGAGCTGATTTCTTCAGTCCACCAGTGCACAGATTGTCTTTGCTTCATGCCATGCTCGTCATACTGATATCACAGGCTTCGGTTATTCTCTCCATCAGCTCTCTAGTATGCTCATCTGCGTGTTGTGAAATTATCTCGATATGGTGTAAGTAAATGTTTGTAAAGAGGGTAAGCTGCATCACCGGCTAAATGAGATTCGTTCGGGAATTTATGTTTATCGTTGAGGTAATTATTCACTTCTGTTAGACGTAATACTCGTGCGTCATGTACAGAACCAACATTCCCAGCATAGCAATGAATAAATTTACATCGAGCATCACAAATAGCGCAAAAATCCTTAAAAACTCGCTCACGTGATTAACGGACGCCCCATATGTATAAATATATTTAACTTAAATAAACAAATTAATTATCTATTTTCTAGTTTTTAAGAAGTTGCTTGATCCAAGTCTTTGGTCAGATGATATATATCCGAAGAAGTTGTCTTTGACAGAAGATAGAAACAATTGGAGTATTCAAAAGATTCGGGCGCACATGTTTGCAGGCAGTCCTAATTAAACAACATCGGGTAAAAGTTTCAATTATTTCATAAAACAGTATTGTAAGATATTAGATTGTTAGATATTAATTATTAGATATGTACTCATGTTTCTTGGCCTCTGATCAACCCAGATAGATGGGCAGGTTTCAAAGAGCAAAATGCATCTATTTTTTATATTATTTTCACCTAAAACTGAAGCAAATGTTTGGTACTTTTTAAATTATAACAAAAGATTTTGAATCAGATAGTTGCATAATTGAGATGATTTTAAACGCCCATGGATCATTTCATAAACATCTATCAACAAAATATAACAATTGCTCTATAAGTGAACACTGCGCTCAAATCAGGGGCGTGGCGTGCCTTGGCGGGGCCCAGTATCAGAATTTGTTTGGGGGCCTCCCTCAAGAAGATTTTTTTTACAAAATATAAAAATTCATAAAATTGAAAGAATATCTATTTATTTTTCTTATGATTTATGTATCTCATTTTCTCTCATTTTCTGAATTTTTCACAAATGTTTCCAGATATATATTCACTTTCCTTGAAATTTTTTGAAAAATTACATTATTTAATGATCTTTAAATTATATAAAGAATCTGTCACTAGGAACGTACAGGTCAATTTCAAACGATTAGTTTCAATTTTAAACATTTCTTCTAGCAGTTGCGATTTTAATTGGAGGAGCCAAGACAAAAATGCACGTTGTTATTCCGTTGAAAAACTGGATGCATCCATCACATCTTCAGATTTTTAAATTCAAACCTATTTTTAGAGCCATCAATTGGTCATGATCTTATGAGATTTTTTTTATAGTATTTCTTTACAGTAATTCAGTCGACAGATTTTTGGAAACGTTTATTAATTCACCATTTCAAAAAGACAAATTAAATTACTATTTACTTCGCAATTTTTTTGAAATCTTTGTTTGGTTTGTGAAATTACAGGTCCAAAATTCTCTCATCTTGTGATAACTCATCATAATAACTTGCAATAACTCGTCATAATAACGCTTCATTATCTTTTGTCTTTTGTTCTTTGAAATAGTTATTGCAATCCATCTGGATTAGTTTTGTAGATTTGTTGACAAGAATATTAGCTTATCGAATGTGCAAAAACTTTATTGAATAAATTGATTGCTAGAGCTTGCAGAAATATTGCAGCAAATTTCAATTCTCTTAAAACGTTAGCTTACACGTTGAAGTTCAATAAGGCTCGATAATAAAAGTAAATGCAAACTACGGTAAAATTATTCATTTTTTTAAATATTGTTTTGCTTTCTGATTGTGCTTGTTGGGGGCCTCCCTGACTCGGGGGCCCCGTATTATTGATACGGCGATAGTTACGCCCCTGGATAATATAGTGACTAGTAATAATTTAATAAATGACAGATCGGAAAGTATAAATAAAAAGTTAATAGCAGGTTTAATTGAAGAGGCAAATTCAAATCAAACTAATGATAAAAATTCAGTAGTAAATGAAAACAATGTCATTTGTTTATATTCGAATTGCTAGATTCCGCTTCAACTTTCATTACACTTGTTGACTGTATGGGAGTATTAATTATTAAGTTTGTTGATGCACTAGTTAAATTTGCAGATTGTTTACGTAACTGTTCTGAAATGAATTCAGAACTAGTATGTGAATCGTCGGCGATTACGGCGGACTCAATAATTAAATTCTTCATTGCGAACCCCAAAGGGGTTCACTACTAAATTGGTAAACAATGTGGCATTCTTTGTATTGAACACTATTTAGTAATGGTTTAATGAATATGTAGGTAAACAACAAATTGTTAATGATAACGGATGTTTATTTATACTTTTACACTGCATGTTATATTGATAGAAGGCAAGCGATAAGTGTCTGTATTCGATAATAATAGATATGGGTTATATGCCCCGACCTTAACAAAGTGGACGTAAACTATTGGTGATGATACCATTGGTTTCCATTCCAATGGTAATCATAAGGAGGGTCGCTACAAATATTTAATTCACTTTATTATGAAAATTTGTATGAAAACCCTTACGGATACATTTGATTATTTTGTTATATAATACCTCACTACTAACTGATAACAAGTAACCAAGTGCCACCCACTATAGGGTTGCTTGAAGCAAACCGTGGTAAAATATAGCATTCTGAACAAACAATAAACAATTAAAGTATATCATTAATATAACTTGTACTTACAATATATAAGTTACAGAAATAAAAAGAGACAATATTTATTATTATTATTTCTCAAATGACTGACTTGACTTGATAAATTTCTATTTTTCAATCAATGTGTGGTATAATGTCGAGTGTAATACATTATGCATTTCTACCAAATAGATATTTTTGCAATTTATATATGTTGATTAAGGACAATGTTAACAGTAAGTGAAACATATGAAACAAAAAACACTATTCGTTACATCACAACTTATAACTAGAGATAAAACTAATGCTTCTTAACACTAACTGAAATATATTATAATGACTAGGTGTGACTATATCATTTGGAATACTGCTCCTCTATCAAGTGGTTTGGCGAGGCGTATTTACCGTACCATTACCAGTAATTCTTCCCAGGTATTTTATAATTGTGTTTAGGCTGTTTTTGCAGTTTTCAAGGAATTTCGCCGTCATATTCAGAATGGTATCTTTTATCGGTTGCAGATTAGACTTTCCGTGAAGGTATTTATTGGATTTAAAGTGTTTGGTAATTGGGTCTCTGTGTTCATTTAGGATTAATCGTATTACTTTATTTTGTAAAATTTGGAGCTTACGAATTTTACTATTGTATGTAGTGATCCAGATTTGTGACGCATAAGAATTTATTGGTCTTATTAATATAAGATATATAGGCTTCTTGTTTTTTGTGTTCAGGACACTATTTCGGTGAAGTAGAGATTTCAGTGCGTTCAATGCACCATAAGCACTATTTAGTTTGTTTTTGATGTGCTTAGTGAAAGTTAATTTTTGATCCAGTGTAATACCCAGGTATTTGATGTTATTTTTCCATTCAATTTTTTCCCTTCATTGGACACTTGTATATTGCTATGTGGAGTGCTTCTTTTGTTGGATTTAGAGAAAATTATTTCTTCTAAACTTGTACTTACAATATATAAGTTACAGAAATAAAAATAGACGATATTTATTGTTATTGTTATTATTTCTCAAATGATATATCAATTCGAAGGATTTAAGGATACTGCACTAGGCTATGAATCTGGTCAAGAACACCAATGTAATTGATTTAATATGGCATCAATAACCTAGTACATGTTCTATTCAACCATTTGTTTCAAGTGTTTTATTCAAGAATGGATCTAAATGGTAATCAGCACAATAATCAACATCAAATAAAATGATACTGTTCTAAATTCATTCTAAACATTACTCGCTTATTAACTTCCCGAAGGAGAAGTTTGTTTTCATAAAAAAATCCGATTCTCGACGATTTTGTTTTCTCGACGTTTCTAGCCATTCTGTATCGAATGCCACCAAATTTGGAAAATGTAGGTTTGTGTGTGTGTGAACAGATTTTGTGCCATCAGTGCCGTAAATCGACGTTTTTTTCCAAAACGATCGTTTTGTCAACACAAGCAGAAAGTTTTTTGAATCATTTAAATCGGATGTTTATTACTCTCAAAAACTGCAATTTTTCGAACATTTAGCTCGGTATCTCAGAAACGGCTGGATCTGCCTTTGCCAAAAACTAATCATCACATCTCTCTAACAATAGGAATCGAATGTTTTTGAACCATTCAAATCGGTTGATTCGTGCGCTCGAAAACGTGGGCGAAAAATTGTATCCATACACACACACACACATCTATTTTTTCTGAGGTATGCCAAAATGTTCAGTAACCTTCAAAACGTCGAGAAATGCAAAAATTTTCAATTTCGATTTTTGGACGATTACAATAACTTAAGTTTATAAGTTAAGTTGGGAAGTTAAAAAATATAATTTATTTTAATATAAACACTATTTACAGATTTACAGTTGTCGACATATTATATTAGCCAAGCTCAATATAAGGCAAGGAGCGATTTCTGTACTAGCATTTCACTCCGCAAAAGATGAACTTGAGTCTGGCGCCATTGACATTTCGCTTCCGTTGGCAGACTTGCGCCTAGTCGAGTGAGTGCATCTATTCATATTACTCTGTGGTCGTGCTCAAGTCACGACAGTCACGTGTTCTGTGTGTTCAGTAATTGCTTAAGGTGCGTCCACACCTAACGAACGAACATGTCGCACAAGAAAATACAAAGAAGAACGAACAGGAACACGAACGAACGCGAATAATTCCAAACAAACGCCTCAAAGCAGTGAGGGCTTGTTGAATCTTTTTGTTCGAGGATGTACCGTGAAACGTCATATTTATTATTTAAAATGGCGGGAAAGAGCAAAATTATTCAAAGCCAATATCTTATAATAAACACAACATAAATTAATGCATTAATGCACATTTTAACATAAAAAAGAAAAATGTTTGTCTACATTCGTGGTAGCGTCCACACTACACACACGAGTTCAACATGAACGAACAATTCCCTTTGATGTACCGACAAGTTGCGGAACATTGCTCGCCATGTTTGTTTATGTTCGTTCGTGATCGTTGGGGCGTCCACACTATGCTGTTGCCGTTCGTTCCGGTACGTTCAATTATGTTCGTTCGTGTTCGTTCGTTAGGTGTGGACGCACCTTTACGTTGCTTCGTGCTAAGCATTAGTTTCAACGTGTTTGTGTTTTGGTTTTTATTTCTCTTTTATTTAAATTCAGTGCTTTGGTAGACAAATAATCAAATGGCCTAAATTGGCGATAAATTTGTTTGCAGATTTTTGGTTAGTATCTTGATGAATTGTTAATTCAATGCGTGAAACAAAAACAAAGAATTTGACAGCATTCTACTTCGTATTCGCTTTGATTTTATATGTGAAATATTCGTTAAAAATGTTCGTGTCTTCCATGCTTGTTGTTGCAACATGCTGTTGATTTAATACAAAACACAATGTTAGGTTTATTTATGATTATTATGTACATACGCACGTACTTTATTCATTGATATCATTTCCAATTTTATAGAAACGCTATGACTAATATTCTATTTTAACACTGTAGTTGACATTAATTTTCTTTCCTTTTGAGACTATTTTAAAATATTTTATTTCTACATATGAATTAGTATAATATTCTTTACTTTCAGGTGTCGGTGAAGAAATTTTATTCAACATAATGGAGAGCCATGTGAATGTTTTGCCGAACAAAATCATCCTACATTTTATATCAATGCAAGGTACACTGAGTAATAACTTTTAGCAAGTAAGTACTTGCAAGTTTTTTATTGCAATGGATATAATCCTGATTAGTATTATCAAAAATAGCAAAAATGTTTTATGAAACACTTAAAGGCACATGCTGCCAGAATTCCATTAATGGAATTCTAGACGTTTGATCTGCTTTTATTGTCGGATCTTGCAAGTAAAAAGTATGTCTATATATTTATTAACAGTTATCAGCAAATATTGTCTGTATAATCATGAGTTTAGCTGTTAGTTCAAAATATGGTTCATTTTATTGATGACACGCTGTCGATAATTTCAATTATTAAATTTGATATTTACTTACTATGGAACAGATTAAACTTATATAGCATTGTTCATGTTTCTTGGTATAATTCTTATTTGTTTGTCATTTTACTATCCTCAATTTTTAATTTTATAACAATTTTATATTTTCTCATGTTAAAAAGTAGACATTATGATTTTTTTTCACATAGCTTCTACTATACTTAGATCGGACTTTGCTTTCTGTTCACCCCATAAAATTAATATTAACAAAAACTACACATTTTCTCAATGACCTTTCAAATTTTTGATACCTGATACATTTATGAAAATATTTTCAATTTAAGACATACTTTTGCACTGTAAAAATTGTTTTAGGAAAAATTTGTTCGGTGCTATAGAATTTAGCGGAAGCTGTCATTGTATATTTTTATTTTTTCATTAGTTTATATATATATATATATATAATATATATATATATATATATATATATATTCTTATATATAAAATTCTTCTGTAACAATGTAAGTTTCATTAATTCTCCTAAACTATAATTTGGATTTTCATGAATCTTTCTGAAGTTTGTTCGGGAAATTTTCTAGAATGTTTTGATTCATAGAAATATAGTTAGATTGTAGAAATAAATGGAAAAAAATACAAAAAACCGCTTATCATTGTTTGACCTTTAAAATATTTAAGGCATGGTTTGACATTAAAAACAAATGACAACTGTCATTTGCCAAACATTTCAATTCACTTATAAGCTAAGGCAATATTAAAATATAATAAATTCATGATTAAAAATAAAGAAAATGTAATGTCTACATTATTATTGCCGAAAAGCAGCTGAGATGTGCCATAATTAAAATAATATAAGATGCAAATAATATAACATGCGTCTGATAGTCTGCGCATGCGACTGATGCGCACGGCGAATCGTGTTCTCAACGTACGAGTGGTTTGCTTTTGCTTGCAATAATTTTGTTTGCGCACTTTGCGAACAGATTCGCCGTACGAATTCGTGCAAAGGAGACGAGCCATAAGTGATTGCGCTCAAAAATATTCAATTCGGTCGTTTTGCCTTACTATACTAAGTCACAATACAAAAAAAACTAGCTGTAAGTGGAATTCTGTCTTAAGGCAATTAAGGCATCGTGCCTTAAGGCAAATTGCTGGAACTTCCCGTGCCAAAAATTATTATTTTTTTAAAAACGATTAAAATTTTTGAAAAAATTTTACTTCGAAAAAATAAGATTTTTTAGAAATTTTAAATTGGACAAAAAATTACTTTTTTTTGAAAAAAAATTTTTTTTAAAAAAAATTTTTAAACAATTTTTTTCATAAAAATTTTTTTTTGGAAAAAATGTTATCTTTATTTTGATATATTTTGGAAGATCTGAACTTTTTTTCAAAGCAATCGTACTGCTTTAACTGCATAGAGACAAAATATAAAGCGCGTAAGCGCCGCGTCGCTGTCTAACGGAAAAACAATGGTACGGAACCCATAGGAATGTAAACAAAACTTATACTTATTGTTAGAATCTCAATAAAATATCTGATAATTTGATATGCATATGTCTAATGTCTAATGATTATTGTTGACCGCCAAATGTTATTTTTTTTAAGTTTTTTTTTTTACTAGATCTCCGAAACCGCTAGACCTATCTTCATGAAAATTTGATCAAATCTTCATCTTGTTAATACAAGTAAAATGTTTTTTGAACTATACAAATCGGACGCTCCGTTCTTTTAAAAACTGAGTTACCGTTTTTGGCCCTTTTTGCCCCATATCTTCGGAACGGATAGAATGTTTTTTGAATTATTCAAATTGCTTCATCCGTGTTCCCGAAATCGTCGACGAAAATTTGTATCCGAACACACACACATGCACGCACACACACACATACATCAATTTTCTCCAAGGTATGCCAACATATTCAGAAACCTCTGAAACGTGAAGATATATAAAAATTTTCATTTTCGATTTTTTTGCGATTACTTATCCTATGGAAAGTTAATTATAAATAAATCAATTTATCATCTCCAGAACATTAACAATCGTCATTTCATTTCGAATTAAATTCCAAAAAAAATAGTTGCCAAATTTACACAAAATTGAAAAAGTGCTCCCGCATAGTCACAGTCTAAACGCATTTGCAAATAATTCTGTGCGACATTTTCACTTATACTGTGCTCAGCTTGGCGGCATTTTCACATTTTTCAATAATTTTCACAAAATTGGAAAGTGCTCCAGTACACAAACAGTCTAAACGCACTTGGGTAAACATTTGTACCAGAGTGGCGCTTAGACTGTGCTTAGCTTGGGTGATTTTTTGAATTTTTAATCCAAATTACAAAAAATTTTTTTGAAAAAAAAATTAGAAACAAAAAATTTTTTTTTTCCAAAATCAATTATTTTGTTGAAAAAAGCAGAAAGTTCTTTGAATCATTTAAATCGGACGCTTAGTTCTCTCAAAAACAGCCATTTTTTTTTAAATTTAGCTCTGTATCTCCGAAACCTCTGGGCCTACCTTTGCCAAAAACTAATCAGCACATCTCCCTATCAATAGGAATAGAATGTTTTTTAAACCATTCAAATCGGTTGATCCGTGCGCCCGAAAACGTGGACGAAAAAACGCGGACATACAAAACACACACACACACACATCCATTTTTTCTGAGGTATGCCAAAATGTTCAGAAACCTTCCGAACGTCGAGAAATGTAAAAATTTTTGATTTCGATTTTTGGACGATTACTATAACTTACCCTACGGGAAGTTAATTACTTATTCAAAAAATTATTTAGAAGTTTCATTGTGTCAAAAATTCATATGGTTGGCATTTTGTACGGAATATTTACTCAATGGAGCGCTTTGGGTCTGAACTATTTTTTTCCTGTTTTCCAATTCGTTTGGAATTTTGGAATTACGCTCATCTTACTCTCAAGTTCAAAAGTGGACTCCTTTGCACTACCCGAGGGGATGCCATTTTTTTTCAGTGGTGTAATAACGTTGAGTGTGGATAAAAGAACTAATTATAAGAGAAAAATGTTTAATAAAGTTTTTCAAAAAAGCAAATACTTTTCAAGTTCTGGCTACTGAAAATTTGTTTCTTTTGCGTTTTTCATCGTTTTTTGCTAATATCTTCAAAAATATACATTTTAACGAAAATTATGTAATGAACAAAATTATATCAATAAAAATCCTAATAAATCGCTATTTTACAGTGTTCTAGGAACAATATTAAGTTAATTATGAGAATGGGTTTTTATAGTTCTCCAAATAAGCTTTAAAAGAAGTACTTCTGCGTGTAAAATGAGTGAGCGATCATGCAATTAAAAGACGCATACAATGTTTTTTTTTCATTTGAATCAAATAGTTTATGAGTGCCATTTCCACCAAAATTAAAAATAATTGTTTTCCATCTAGAATTAACTTGGTTTGAGAGATCTTGATGGATTCTAGAAAATACCATAACATTAGTACAAACGATTTTCAAAAAACTCATGATTTCATAAAAAAATCCATTTAAAAAAAAAACAATTTCTCATTATAATATCTCTGAAAGAATACGTATAAAAGTATATATATGAAAATTCAAGGTATTTTTCAGACTAATTATTGCTTTTTATTATTTTCTTGTTACACAAATATTGATAGAGTTCTAATTGTTTAAAGAGTGCGCGGCTGTCCAACCGGATTGTCTTTCGAGCCCTTTAACCCTTCGCCGTTTCAAAATAAGAGAAGTTACGGTAAAATTTATGATAGAGAAAGTTGTAGCTCATTTAATCACCTTTAAAATAGTATATTACAAGTTATAATAAAATCGGAATTAAAAGAGTTATAATCCAATTAATGCGGGGGGTGTGACGAAATGCAAATTGTTTTCACTTCTGAACTTTAGATTAAGATTAGCTGGGCATACGCTTTTTTCCTCTCCATTTACTGCAATAATTTTGTTGATAGTAGGTTGAATAAAGCACATGTGAACAAAATTTGACAAATTAATTCACTTCAAATATGAACTTAAGTAATAATGTATATTGAATTATTAGTGTGAAAAATGCAATGCAATGCGATATTAAAATACTAAAAGCAAGTTAAAATATGGTACAAAATCTTAAAAATTGTAGGCAACATTATTGAAGCAAATATTTTGAGTAGAAAAATCGAAGGTGATATTGTACCTTGACCGCATGCTATATATTAATTCTTTCTGAATTTGTTATATTTTTTAAAAGATTTCAATTTTCAACACGTGTATCTATGCTATGAAAATAAATACATGGTGATAAATTTGGAAAATCAATGTTTTAGCCGTCAATAAACAAAAAATCATTCATTTAAACATCCACATCTACAGGTATGTCTAAAAATATTGTATAATCCTTAAATTCAATAAAATAAATTGAGCTATTGGAAATAAATTTGTTCTATAAATCGCAGTGTATAATTTTTAATATATAATTTTATTGAACATATTTTAATATTTGTTAAAGGGATAATTAAAGTGTTAACTGTGGGAATTGAGAATAATCATTTTATTTGAAACAGTACTACATTTAACTCACTCATATATTGGTGTAAATAGTAATTCGAAGAACAATAATGATTATTTTCAACTGAACGGTATAAATATTAGTATAGGATATTAAAAAAACGTAGAGGTGGGCACAGGACAACGTCTGTCGGGTCATCTAGTATATATATATAATATTAACGCACACACATATAAATAAATTGGCTGAA